GCAAGTAAGCAAACAAACAAACAAATGAACAAATAGCAACCCAGAAAATAAAACAGTATTATCTTTAGGTGCTATGCTGGGTCAGAACATTCAGAGGACTAGTGGAACATTAGTGTGGTAGTCCTTGATATGGTCTGATTATTTCCCACAAATAATTTTTTTTTAAAAAATATGTTTTATTTTATTTTTTTACATAATCACCTTAATATTTGGTAAGCATCATGTTGTCTGGGTTTATATTTAAAAAATAAATAAATAGCAATTAGTTTATATAATTCTATAGTCCACATAACCGTACTGGTTAAAATTTTCATTACACATAAGTATTTAAGTCTTTTTCCTCATACAGGCCATCCCAACACTTTTACATTTCTCATATCTTTAAAAAAAAGAAAAAAGAAAAAAAGAAAAGAAAAAGAAATAAGAAGATAATATACTACTTAAAATACATATCCTTCTTAGTCTAATGTATGTTTATATCCAGATTTTTTCTCTTCTTTTCAACCATATTCAAGTATATGATTAATCTTTAAGTGTTCCATTTAAATAAATCCAATTATCTAATCTTTTAAATCTAATCAAAGCATTTTTATCCATTCAAAGTTTTCTCATGTTCAATTTCATTTTAGTATCTAAAACATTTCCTTTATATTTCAACATTTTTATATTTCTCATGTCAAAACACAAAACACAAACGAAAAAAGAAAGGAAAAATACTATATTACTTGAGGAGCTCATCCTTCTCAAAGTAAAATTAATTTATATCCAAAATCTTTCTATTTCTTTAATTATATTTAAAAAGATGTTTAATTCTCAAATATTCCCTCTGATAGATCCCATCATCTTATTTCTTGATTTTCATTTTAGACTTTTTAGTTTGCCAGACATCTTTCCTGACCAATATGTTTCTCTGAATCAAAGAGTCATCCCATAGTCTTGTGGATGGTGTTGTAGGTACAAAAGACAAATCAGGTGAGATGTTTTTATAGGAAGGTTTTGTCTCTTCATATTCATTGAATTTTTTCCCTTTCTTTGTCTCTTAATTTCTCTTATCATTTTTTGTCTCTTAAATTCTCATAGTTCTCCTGGTAGCTCTGTAACCCATTTTGTCAAATCTTTTTTCTTGTCCTCAGACTTATTTTGTGATCTTAAAGTATAAGTTATCTTTTCCATGTCCATTATTTCCTATAAGTTTTTTCCCACCTTGGTTGAGTCATATTTCCTTCTGATGTTAGGTTCCATCTTTAAATCTCTCTTCTCTGGTTCATCAGTTGTCTGTTTTATCTGCTCACTCTCTATTTTTATTTTCTGAGAGGTTTTTTGTTGTAAATTAAAGATGCATTCATTTATATTTTCAAAGTTATTTTTAATTTCCTCGTAGTTTTAAGATCATTGTTGTTTGAATTAGTTGTAACATAGCATATATGTCCTCATGGAAAGTATTTGTTTTTTCTTGGTATATTCTTTCTACAGATCTCTGGTTTTCCATGATAGAGAAAAATCAGGGTTTTCCTTTCTCTGCAGAAAGCTTTAAAGTCACTGTTGAATAAGTATTTGTTATCCAGAAAGGTCATTTGCCCCCTTAAAGTTTGTTTTTCAGTTTTCATTTTTCAAAATGAAAAATTATTTTCTTCTATTTTCATGATTTAAAAAGAAATTTTAACACATTCCACCAATTTCAAACTTATCCAGATTTAGGTCTTATATTCAGTTCATTTCAGTATATTTCTGTCCTCACTTAAGGGTTTAATTCACAACTTCCATCTGTAGGAGGATGGGGCAAAGATCCTTCATCTCACTTTCAGAGGCTTTTTGTTTCTTGGTTGTTTTTTCCCTAGGAAAACAATTATCAAGTAGAAGAGATAAAATCACTGTTTTTACCCAGTTCCAAGCATGTTGTTTACAGTCAGCTTAAAATAGTGCTTTTGGGCTTCAGCTGCTTGTAGCTTGGGCTAGACCAGTGGTGGCGAACCTATGGCATGGGTGTTAGAGGTGGCACTCAGAGCCCTCTCTGTGGGCACGTGTGCCATCGTCCCAGTCCTAGGCCTTCACTTTTTCGCTTTAGGCCTCCACCGCCGTGTGCAAAAAAAAAAAAAAAAAAAAAAAGGTTCAATCAGTCAGTTTCAACTTCTTGCAGGAAAAAAAAAATCTTACAAAGTTGGAATTGATTGATTGAACTTTTTAGTCCCACCCAGACTGCCGTTACCATCACAGCCACGCCCAGCCAATGGGCCACACCCAGCCAATGGGCCACACCCACCTGGCACCCAATGATGCATAAGTGGGTTTTGGGTTGTAGTTTGGACACTCGGTCTCTAAAAGGTTCGCCATCAGTGGGCTAGACTCTGAAGTTAAGCTAGCTTTTCTTCTTGCTGGTTTCTGGAAGGCTTTTTCTGGACCGATCAGATCGACCACTGTCTCTCTGCACTCAGCGGGACTTCCCTCCTTCTTTATCACCTCTACTGTGCAACTTCAGGCCCATTTAGGGTCCCCTAGCAGGCAGAAATCTGTCATAGGGTACTGTGCAAAACTGGAAGCCTCCACAAATGAATCTTCTGTGACAGGAAAATATTTGGTGTGGTTTTGTTGTGGCCTAGTTGCAAAATAAGACCTGGAACTTTTTAATATTTTCAGTAATGATTCGGTCATGGATGTGGATGGAATAATGATCAGATATGAAAATTTTATAGAACTGAATATAATCGTTAATGTTAGAAAGCAAATAGCTACATGGGTAAATATCTCCATAAATTAGAATAAGGAAAGAAAAAGAACTAGGTGTGAAAAGAAATGTAGAAAATTCTGAGAATGTCGGTCTAATCAAGAGGAGACATACCACACAGAGAGTAAGCCTTGTAGATATGTAAAAGAAATCTTCTATAATAGAATAGAGCTGGAAGGGACCTTGGAGGTCTTCTACTCCAGTCCTCCACTCAAGCAGGAAAACGTCCTATACCATCTCAGACAAGTGACTATCCAGTCTCTTCTTAAAAACCTCCAGTGATGGAGCACCCACGAATTCTGAAGGCAAGCTGTTCCACTGGTTAATTGTCCTCACTGTTAGGAAGTTTCTGCTTAATTCCAGGTTGCTTCTCTCTTTGATCAGTTTCCATCCATTGTTTCTTGCCTGCCCTCTAGTCCTTTGGAAAATAATTTGACCCCCTCTTCTTTGTGGCAGTCCTTCAAATACTGGAATATTGCTATAGTGTTACTCTCTGTATTATCTTTGTACTTAGTGTCCTTAATGTTCAACTGTTTTATAGGTCCCAAAAGTTGGAGCATAGAAGCTTAATTTGTGTAAATGTAATGCCTTGTTTCTAGAATTTCATTGCAGCTAATGAGAAGGCTGTGGTCCACTGCAACAAAACTTAAAACACTTCCAACTCCCAAGCATTGAATATATAATTTCAGAACAATTAAAATGGAACATTTCAATGTCAGATGAATTCATTTCAAGTTTTCTTATGATGATATTTTTATGATAATGACATTTGAAATATTGCTGCTTGGAACAACCAAGATTATTCAAAAACTGAAAAAAAAAAGCTTGCTTTTTATTTTGAAATAAAGTCTTGAAAAACATGAATGTTGTTTCAATATTTGAATTTTGGATTCAAATTATTGTATAGTTAATTTATGATAAATGTGACATGTGAAGTATGGAATTTTAGCAATGAGAAACTTCAATTATTCAAAGATTTTGTGGGGGGATAAAATTTGTCAAGCATAGTCAATCCAAAAAATTCCAAAATTATATTCCTGAAAATCTGATTCAGAATTGAGGAAGGCACACAATCACTATCTTTGACAATACTAATCAATAGGGAAGTTGTTCCAGCTGTTCAAAATCAGGAGAAAATCTATCTATCTATCTATCTATCTATCTATCTATCTATCTATCTATCTATCTATCTAACAAATTTATATACATTACTTTTCAATATCATCATTCACATTGAGGCACTTGTCAAAATGTCTTTCAAGGTTTGAAATTTCTTCATAGTATTCATTCGGCACCATATCTGGGCTATAGGGGGTGATCAAAAGCATCCCAATGGAACTGCTTCAAAAGTTCTTGAGTGCATCTAGTGGTGTGCGGCCAAGCATTATCATGAACCACCACCACACTGGAAGTCAGCATGCCTGATGCATGTTATGGATGACTCATCTGAGTTTTCATAATGGTTCACAGTAGACATCTGAATTGATGGTTGAACCATGCTCCACAAACTTCACTAGCAGTACTCCTTTGGCATCTCACACCAAGAATTTTTGAAGCAGTTCTTTTGGGATGTTTTTGATCACCCTCCCTATAGTCCAGATTTGGTGCCAAGTGACTACTACTAAGGAATTTCAAACCTTGTAAAACATTATGACAAGTTCCTCAATTTGAATGGCAATTATGTCAAAAAGTAATGTAATGTTGTAGTTTTCTAATGTGTATAATAAAAGTTCTGTATCTGCAAGTGTCTGTCATTGATAACCAAATGGAGGTTTATTTCCAAATTGTCCTCGTACTTTAGTTTTTGTTAAACTAAAGATGAAAGATGAACAAGTTAAAGAAACAATGATAACCTGAGCAAAAAAAAAATGGGCACAATTTAGAATTAGAAAAATGGCAAAACTTGTGGGAAAGAAACTACAAGATAACAAGGACAGCTAATTATAAAGAAAATATATATATATATATAAATGTTTTATAGATAGCATTTACCACCTGCAAGATTAGCAAAAATGTTTAAAAACATGTGTAATAATTGTTGGAAATGTAGGCAAAAGTCAGGTACATACTATCACTTTTTGTGGACATGCCCTAAGCAAAAAAAAAAAAAAAGGTCAAAAATACACATTGGTTACAGAAAATCTTAAGAAAGCATGTAGATTTTAAGCCAGAAATATTTCTTCTAGATATAATTACAGAGAACACTAACAAAAATGTATATATTTAATATTACATGTATTAATAGCAGTGAGAATTCTATTTGCACAGTATTGGGAAAATGAAGAAACACCATCGGAAGAAGACATAATTAAGAAAAATTTGGATTGTCTTGAAAAAGATAGGCTTATATTGAAAATGAAAGGGAAAGAAGATACATAGAGATAGGGATAGGGATAGGGATAGGGAGAGAGAGAGAGAGAGAGAGAGAGAGAGAGAAGGAGTTTGTTATACCTACTCCAGGAATGATATTACTTTGTTTTCATTTACAATCCATAATTGAGCCAGGAACATTGAACACCCTTCCCTTGCCATTCCTTTCTTTTGAAACATTCCCCACCCCCCTGTTGTCAGAACTCTCATCTAGAGTCATCAGAATTTGAGGGACACCATGGGGAGTGGGAAAGATTTGCAGCATCATTTTTCCCCCTCCAATCACCATTGTTAAGATAAAATATGAAAGTTAAACTTTACTCATGGACAGTGAAGATTTGCACAGGAATAGGCACTTCTGAATTAAACCGAATCAGCTTCTAGATAAATTTTATAAAATTGCAATCTTAAATGCATGAGGACATTGTAGGTGGTCTTTGAAACTAACCCTCTTCTGTGGACACATAATTTCATTCATTTTGAACTATTATTACACGCAGTGCAAAGACCTATTCCCCTTTTTTAGAATTTTGAGATTAATCATTGGGGATATTTTCTTCCTGGTAAAGTGTGCCAAGGCTTCCTTAACTTGCTTGTTTCTCAGGCAATAAATGAAGGGATTCAATAGTGGAGTTATCACTGTATTCAGAATGCTGGCCATTTTGTTGAGATCTAATGAGTGGTTTTTTTGTGGCTGAACATAAATGAAAATAGAACTTCCATAGAATAGAATCACTACAATCAGGTGTGAAGCACATGTTGAAAATGCTTTCTGGCGGCCTTTGGCTGAAGGGATGCAAATTATTGTTGCAATGATAAAAATATAGGAGATCCCTGTTACCAGCAATGATCCTAAAAGGAGCAATGCTGAATTTACAAAATTAATAATCTCAATAGTTCCTGTATCAGAGCAGGCCAACTTTAGTAGAGGATCAACATCACAAAAGAAATGGTTGATGGTGTTAGAACCACAGAAATGCAGCTGGTCTAACAAGGTGGTTGGTGTGATCACAACAAAATAGCCCCACATCCAAGAAGCAGCTAAGAGTTTGATGCAAAATGATGTGTTCATGATAGCTGTGTACCTCAGTGGATTGCAAATGGCAATATAACGGTCAAATGACATGACTGCCAAAAGGAAGAACTCCGAGGAGCCTGCTGAAAAGTAGAAGTAAGCTTGCAAAATGCAATTTTGAGAGGAAATTGATTTCCTTTTATTCATGAAGTTGACTAGCATTTTGGGAATAACAGTGGTAGTGTAAAGAGTCTCTAAAAAAGATAAATTGGCAATAAAGATGTACATTGGGCTATGGAGGCTGTGATCATACCATACTAATGTAATAATAACAAGGTTGCCCAGCAAAGCTATAGTATATGTAATACAAAAAGAAGCAAAAATCAGAGGTTCCAGTCTCTTGGTTGCAGAGAATCCAAGCAGAATGAATTCTGTCACAGTTGTCTGGTTCTTCATTATACTATCAACTGATGGAGTCAACCATGAATGACTTCTTCAGCTGTGAAACTCCTAGATATCATCAAAAAGACATATTTATTATGAGCAAAAGAACTATAGGAGATGTATATAATAAAAAATCAAGAACTAAATTTCTCTAAGGAAACTATACTGCTCAAAAAAATAAAGGGAACACAAATGTATAGGATGTCTTATTTATGTGTTCCCTTTATTTTTGTAAGCATTATATTTACAAGCATCCACCTTAGACTTCCTTAGATATATATTTTCCATGTATTATATCTGATTATACCATTTAACAATAAACAGAAATCATCTTTGTAGTCACATTTCTGTTTTCACAAAGCCTAACATTCAACCCATCCAAAATCATAGCAACTTCTTTTTACTTATTATAATTAATTATATAGACATATAGACGTACATAATATTTCAAAATCTGCATATTTTAAATATCATGCAGAATGAATTGTGTTGACACCTAGGTAAGTGGGTCTTTGCTAACTATCATAACTATTGAATATTGTGGGATTAAAAAGAAAATGTGAAAAAAAAGTTTTATTATGGATTTCATACATTCAAAAACAAGTCATGCTCTCTTTTTTGTCTCCATCTGTTTCTGGTCCTTGTGACTACATTGATCATACTGTGATTATGGATAACCTATAGAAAAAAAGGAAATTGAAATTCAGCTGAAATTCTGTTTTCAATGCAAATATTAAAGAACAGAAAACTTGTTTTTTACAACCCATTATGTTACATAAGAGGTGTTTCAGAAAAAAAATGGTCCTATTACTGTATTTATAGAAAAGAAAAATTTTGACACACATTTGATTAGTCAATTGATCTATATTTTCTGTATAAATATGGGGTATTTATTAAATATAAATATTCATATTTATTTGACAAATATAAAGCAGGTTAATTGTAATATTTAAGATATCAAGCCAGAACCCAGGAGACTGTGAGATTTAGACCCTTAGGCAACTTAGTAACCTTGGTCCAATCACTCTCTTTCAGCCCTTGGAAGAAAACAATGACAAGCCACTTCTGAAATCTTGATGGAAAAACTGGAGCAAGTAATCCAGGAAGTTGCCAAAGGTCAAATATGACTTGAATACACAAATAATAATAATAATAACAATAACAATAACAATAACAACAATAATAATAATAATACACTGGAGCACCACTTGAACACCATTGGCATTGACAAATTCGCTATTAGTCAATTGCAAAAGGCGGCCTTACTAGGAACTGCTTCCATCCTGCAACGATATCTGTAATACCATCAAACATCCACATCTGCATATCCCAGGTCCTGGGTAAGGACTCGATAGATAGACAAAATGCCAAATCCAGTCTGAACATCTGGCTGACTGTGCAATGATCAATAATAATAATAATAATAGTAGTAGTAGTAGTAGTAGTAGTAGTAGTAGTAGTAGTAGTAGTAGTAAAGTTGGAAGGGACCTTGGAGGTCATCTAGTCCAACCCCCTGCTCAGGCAGGAAACCCTATAGCATTTCGGACAAATGGCTGTCCAGTCTCTTCTTAAAATCTTCCAGTGTTGGAGCATTTACTGCTTCTGGAGGCAGGTTGTTCCACTGATTAATTGTTCTAACTGTCAGGAAGTTTCTCCTTAGTTCTAGTTTGCTTCTCTCCTTGATTAGTTTCCACCCATTGCTTCTTGTCCTGCCTTCAGGCGCTTTGGAAAATAGCTTGATTCCCTCTTCTTTGTGGCAGCCCCTGAGATATTGGAATACTGCTATCATGTCCCCCTTTGTCCTTTTCTTCGTTAAACTAGATATATCCAATTCCAGCAACTGTTCCTTATATGTTTTAGCCTCCAGTCCCCTAATCATCTTTGTTGCTCTTCTCTGTACTCTTTCTAGAGTCTCAACATCTTTTTTACATCGTGGTGACCAAAACAGGATGCAGTATTCCAAGTGTGGCCTTACCAAGGCATTGTAAAGTGGTATTAATACTTCACTTGATCTTGATTCTATCCCTCTGTTAATGCAGCCTAGCACTGTGTTGGTCTTTTTGGCAGCTGCAGCACATTGCTGGCTCATATTTAGGTGATTGTCTACTAGGACTCCGAGGTCCCTCTCACACTTACTACTATTGAACAAGGTGCCACCTACGTTGTACTTGTGCATTTGGTTTTTCTTGCCTAAATGTAGAACCTTACTTTTTTCACCATTGAATTTCATTTTGTTAGATAGTGCCCAGTGTTCGAGTCTGTCCAGATCCTTCTGTATCTTAAACCTGTCTTCTGGAGTGTTGGCTATTCTGCCAGCTTGGTGTCGTCTGCAAATATGATGAGTTCCCCATCTATTCCTTTGTCCAAATCATTGATGAAAATGTTGAAAAGCACTGGGCCCAGAACAGAGCCCTGGGGCACCTCACTACACACTTCCCTCCATATAGATGCAGTTCCATTGAGGACCACTCACTGAGTACAGCTGGTCAGCCAGCTATGGATCCATCTGGTGGTGATGCTGTCTAACCCACATTTTTCTATCTTATCAAGTAGTAGGTTGTGATCTACTGTATCAAATGCCTTATTAAAGTCCAAGTAAATTATGTCCACAGCATTCCTCTGGTCCACTAATTTTGTCACTTGGTCAAAGAATGCAATAAGATTTGTCTGGAATGATCTATTTTTGACAAACCCATGTTGGCTTTTAGTAATGACTTTGTTTGCCTCTAGGTGTTTGCTGATTCGTTGTTTGATTATCTTTTCCAGGATCTTCCCAGGTATTGAGGTCAGGCTGATAGGTCTGTAATTTCCCAGATCCATTTTTTTCCTTTTTTAAGGATGGGAACTACATCAGCTCTTTTCCAGTCCTCTGGTAGTTCCCCTGTGCTCCAGGATCTTTGAAAAATATAGGTCAGTGGTTCCGAGATCACATCTGCCAGTTCCTTGAGAACCTTGGGGTGTAATCCATCTGGTCCTGGCGATTTGAACTCATCCAGGCTGGACAGGTGCTCACTTACCATTTTCTTGCCTATCTTAACTTGTGTTCCTAGTCTGTTTTTTATGGCACTATTTTTGATAGGTTGGTCTGTTTTTTTCCCTTTGGGTAAAGACAGATGCAAAAAATGAATTAAATAGTTCTGCTTTCTCTCTGTTGCTTGTCATCTTCTTGCCACTTTCACCCACTAATGGACCAATCGTTCCCTTCACTTTTTTTCTTGTTTTTTACATGTTGAAAGAAGCTTTTTTTTTTTTTTTTTGGATTTTGGTCGCAAGCCTTAGTTCATTTTGAGCCTTGGCTTTCCTCACTTCATCTTTTCAGGCTTGGGCTATTTGCTGATTGACTTAGTTATATGTCCCTCTTTCCAGTTTCTATACTTGTCCTTTTTATCTTTCAATTTGTCAGAGAGTTCTTTATGCAGCCATGCTGGTTTCTTTTAAGAACTGTTGTTTTTCCTCTTTGTTGGTATTGTGCTAGACTGTGCTTTTATTATCTCATTTTTCAACATTTCCCAAGCTTCTTGAATTGTTTTCCCCTTGAGGATTCTCATCCATGGAATCCTTCCCAAGCCCTCTCTAAGTTTATTGAAATTAGCTCTCTTGAAGTCCAAGACTCTAGTTTGACTGGGTTCTATTGCTTGTGCTTCTATAATGTTGAATTCTAATATTGCATGATCACTATCACTGAAGGTTCCTTTGGCTTCAACACCTTCTATCATTTCATCTCTGTTAGTGATAATTAGATCCAAAATAAATCATTTTGTTATTATGTTTCTCAAAACTAATATTTATACTTATAAATCTGATAGACAAAAAGGTAAAGTGTGTATTAGTGACAAAAATTTCCTACAGCAGCCTGCTTTAGGGAAAAAAACTACTCTATGTTTCAAAATTATATAAAAATTGTGCATAAAAATATATATTTTATCTATGCTCTTAAAATCACAAAATCAGACAGAACAAATTTAAGATAGTAGTGTAGATGGGGAGAAACTAAAGAATAGCAATTTGTTAATTTCATTTTCCTCTATATTTCACTTTGCTATGCATAAATTATATATAGTTGTATTCCATACAAATTAGCAGAAAAAAATTAGCATAAAGTATTGTATGTATTTTTACACAATATATTTATCATATATGCATATGCATTCCACATTAATCTTATATTCAAATTCAAATCTGACATCTTTTATTAAACATTCTAAAGTACTGAATCTTTTGTGAGAAATCTAATGGCTGTTGTCACTAAATAAACTTATCCATTATTTAAACAATAATGGTTAGTCAATAAATCCAATTTTCTCATTTATAATTTACTGAATTATAAAATAATCAATCATTGACTGGATTAATTTAATATATCAGGCTAAAAAATGGTTTGCTGGTCTATGGCACAGTGATATTTTATGGAAAAGTTTAAATTGGAAAAAACAGAGACACAAAATATTTTTTTTTTTTTTGAAAATCTATAGCATCACACAATTTCTCTTTTTTTCCCTTTACACACGCATGCACACAAATAGGCATATGTTTATTGTCCTTTGCTAAATTGAAATCTAAATCTTACAAATGTCAACACAAATCAGCAAACATTCTGTTTTTCTGTAATAAACCTTAAATATAAATATATAATTCTTAGGAATTCAGAAGTAGAATATTTTCAATGTTTCCCAAAGAAGATATGATTCATATTGTTTTAATGAAAATTTATAGGAGGATTAATACTTCTTGAAATTGTGCTGTGTTAGATTTCTTATTTGTAAAATTTGAAGTTCAATATTTACCTGTGAGTTGATGAAAATAAATCTTGATTATTAATCAATAGTGAAAATGCTAAACAATATCTAAATCCAAAAAAAGAATAATTAAAAACTTAAAGAAGATCAATTAGGCATCAATAAATCAAACAGATAATGTAAAGGAAGAGAGGGAAAATATAGTTTTAAAAAGAAAAAAGAAAAAAATCCCCTTTTATCAAGTGATTGAAATAATATGTCACAAAAGCCTCATTTAAAAACAATGTTAGTTGAAATAACAAAGAACTTGCAATATCACTATGTTAATATGATAATCTCCCATTCTGTATCTTTGTTGTCTCCTTTATGAGAATTGCAAGAATTGGAAGGGGAGATGTAAACATCTCTTTATCAATTTAAAATAACTTTCATTGTACTTGCCTGCATGTTTCCACTATTAACAGAACAGATAGAAATGTTCATCTCTCCACGTGCATGTTTCTGTATAAGAGAGAATTTGGAATGTCTAGGAAAGTTTTGAATTATTGATTAGAATGATTACAAAGCTGCTAACATAATGCAACTGTTTTCTCTTTTTTTAATGATAGACATTGAACTCATATTTACTAGTTAAAAATATATGGGAAAAGTTATTAATTGAATGATTCCCACAAGAATAAATTAGATCACCTCTGCAATTACTCCTACCATGTTGATTCAAGATCATGATGCACAGAATAACAAACAAAATATGGCAGTGATGGTGAACCTTTTAGAGGCTGAATGATCCAAAACCACCCCCACCCCGTCCCTGCTCCACCCTGCCTGCTGGGCCACCTACCACCTCCATGGCCTGCCACAGTTCACAGCAGCACCATGGTGACCACATCCTCTGCTCATTCCCTGCATCATGATCTGTGTGCGATGGGGCACAAAG